CTCCTCCCCCCCCCCCCCCCTCAAATCCTATCTACAAGAAGTTTCTCTTTCGTGTCTGCCTGCATTTCTGCTACCCAGTATTTGCTCTTTCCCCATCCCTCTCATCTCTACCCACCCTGCCACTCCTCCTGCCACGCTGCTCCCATGGGCAGCCCAGGTCCTGTTCATATTCCAAACATAGGTTCTGGAAGATGATGGCTAACACATCAGACCCCACGCAGTCTTCAGCAGGTTAGGTTTGGGGAGTAGGACGCAAACAGCCCCATTGCCACATATAAAATGAAATGCCGGAGCTAGCAACTCATCAAGCATCGTTCTAGAAGGGCTTTGCTGGCAGCAGGACATTCAGCACTCCAACTCCCAGGAACCAGCACTCCCGGGGGCTTTGTTGACATTTACTGGGAGATCAACAGTGTGGAGATGGATCTTGCTAAATCAACTGCTGATCGTGCTCCCCTCTACTCCGGTACTCCACTAGCTCACAAGGAGAAAGGGAAGTGGATGGGAGAGTTTCTCCCCTCGACCCTCCACAGTGGGGACGCCGGGGAAATTTGAACTAAGGTACATTGACTCCGGCTATGCTCCCTTCATCAGGATGGGAGGAAGGTGAAATTATAGCCACCTTCACTGGCCATACCTTAACCCAAGGGGCACAACTTGTCGGTTCCCACTCGCCTCTAGTACTTACAGTCGCTCTGGACAGTTGTCTGGCTGATCCAGGTATCCTCCATCCATTACAAATTTTAGCACCTGTTCGTTCGAGAGTCCCTGGTACGGCTGCTCCGCCAAGCTACTTATCTCCCATAGGACAACTCCAAATGACCTGCGAACAGACCAACCCACTGATCAGACGGATATTGAGGCTCCAGAGAAGATACTGTTCAGCTGACATTTGGGGCAGGAGAATTTTAGAACATGCATTAGAGGAGCTGCTTGAGAGTCTCATTTCTTGCACGGTGAAGAATTTAACACACGTATGCACAGAGAGGCACCTGTGTCACTTATTAGGGCTCCTATCAGGAATGGAGAAAGCAACTTACCACCCATCTGAGTAAGCAGTGAAGACACCATCCTTTAGCGATTCGGGTGCCATCCACCTCACAGGCAGCAGCCCTTTGCCTCCTTTACGGTAATAGTCGGTCTCATAGATGTCTCTGGTCATGCCAAAGTCTGACAAAAAAGATTAGGATACGTTACTGATGCCATGTGCGGAAAGGACTCCGGTTTCTGTAACGGGCACATTGACACCGTGTGTATCAGGGCCAAGCACACACAGTGCAGGACTCCTACCTACATCATTCCGCTGGTGTCTTCCACAATCATTTCCTGGATCTCTCTGCCATGTGGGTGCCACTGTTGCTTGCCTTAGAGCAGGGCTACTCAACACGTGGCCTCTAGGCTGCGTGCGGGCTGCAGCCCATGGTGCAGTTTGGGTTTACACGGGGCTCAACATGCAGCCCATGGGTGGGAGCCAAAATAAAAAAGTAGTCAATATAATGGTCTTCTGTTGATAGTATTCATGCCCGTCAGTGTGAAAGAAGCTATTTGCATATATATGCAACCACACTTAAGTTGCGGCCCTCGGCATGTGCTGCGAGCATCATTGTGGCCCGCGGTGCTTCCAAAGTTGAATAGCCCAGCCTTAGAGTCTGTCCTGCCTGGCAATCGCTCTTCCCATAGAGCACGTGAAGTTAAGCCATAGAAAACAGGCTACTGTGACTTGACCTACAACCTGAGCCCACAACACCCCAACTTTCAGTCATGAGACTATCTTAAGAATAAGGGGGGCAGAGAACATTTCCCTCCCATCCTTCCTCTTCCTAAACTATGAGTAGCCATGGCTCCATTCCCCTAGAACGGAAACTGTCCCAGTTGTAACTAAGCTCTGTTTTGCTGATCTGCTTTTGATAAACACAGAATTATTTTTGGCCTGAAATTCCAAGTGCCTGGCCTCAGAGCAGAGGAAGCTTTGGGGAGCAGGAGAGGGGGAGAGTTTGGATTATTTGTCGACTTAATTCAACTAGTGTTAAGGGCTTGGTTTAGGTATTTGTCCTTCATGAAAACCTGCCCTAATCACATCTTCAGCACTCCTAAGCTTTCAGTTTATGTTCCATGAGAACAGGATGCTCTCTCCATCACCATCCTTATGGAAGCAAGAAATAATACGACATTCCCCAAAGAGCTCTCACTAGAAGAAGTTATTAACTGCACTGCAGTAGAAAATACAGAAAGCTGCAGAGAGACTCCCCACACAATCCACTTACCAAAATGCCTGCAGGTCCTTCTGCAAGGCAGGTGAAACAGGAAAAGATGTTGGGCAAAGAAGGTTAATCTTAGTGAAGAACTTTAAAGATAGTTAAACATCAGCTGGTTTGTAGCACTAGCGTAGGTTCCACAGAACCTCCTTCTCAACAGGTAAGGATTAATATTAGATTTGAAGCACACATTACATACCTCCAATTTTTACAGTAAAATCTTCGGCAACCATACAGTTACGGGCTGCGAGGTCTCTGTGGACAAACTTTTTGGCATTCAGGTAAGCCATGCCATCGGCAATCTCTGCAGCCATCTGGATCATCTCTCTGAGAGTTGGTGGGGGACGGCCGGGGTTATTCTGAAATTAAGACATAAAGTAGTAAGACCAAAGCAAGTCAGTCTGTTTTATGAAACACTCCCTCACCCCACGCACTCCGTATCACTTCTCTCCCAGAAATACCTCAGCGTCAGGTCTCAGGGAGCGAAGGTAACTTTTCAGATCTCCATGTGCCATCAGTTCCATGACAACCAGTGTGGGTTGTCCTTTTGAGACCACCCCTAGGAGGCGAACCTGAAAAACGGAAATGGGGATTCTCTCTCAGCTTTGTGTCAGTGCATGCAATGGGCATTGCACACTTGTGAAAACAACATTTACAATGAAACCAATACTTTTCTAGCACAAGCCAAAAGTGCTGTCATGGGACATGCTGCCCTCTCACGATGTGGGGTTTTGAAAAAGCACAAGGGAAATTATACAGGAAGCTGCACTTTCCGGACACTGCCCATCCCTCACATGGATTGATTTTGCTTCCCTCTTAACTGGTTTTTTCATCCTGATCCTCTAGCATTACAAGCACCACAGGAACTTCAGTTAGAAGGTGGGATTTTCAGCGGCAAGTCATTTTAGGCAGAGAAACATCACTTACCACGTGATGGCAGTTGAACCCTTTCATTACAGAAGCTTCATTCAGAAACTCGATGCGCTCCCGGAGGCTGGCAGATTCGTTAACGGTTTTCACAGCTACCCGAGTCTCTGGTTCCCCTTTCACTATGTCTTTGGCTATCCCTTCATACACCATCCCAAAGGAGCCTTGCCCGAGCTCTCGGAGCAGGTTAATCTTATCACGTGGGACTTCCCATTCATCGGGCACATAAACTGTCACATGGAGACAAACATTTCTGAATGAGCAGAGCAGTTATTGGAGAGAGAACCAGTTCCGCAGTCAGGCACAGGAGACAGGAGCAGTGACAGTTTCTACCTCAGAAAGCCAGCCATTTACACCTGAGCATGGTGGGTGTAAACCTCCGCCTGATTGGAATAGCAACATTTCACACCCACTTTTCCCAGGTGCAAATGTCTGCCCAAGGGGCGAGGCGAGGAGTATCTCGCCCACAGACAGTAGGAGTGTCTTGCAAAGCACAAGCCAGAGTGAATCTGCAGAGTTAGTGAAAGAACTGCAGAAACAAGTGCACAACACAAGTAAAAGGGTAAATACAATCCACAACCCAGACATCCAGCATTCACTAATTCAAATGCCCACGTCCCACTTCTGTCCTGGATGTCTTATTCCGCACTCAGCTCACTTTCCACAAAGCTATAACAAGTCTAAACCAACAATGGGTACGAAGACACAGTTCTAAAGTTCAACATCTTAATCATCTTGCTGTGTTTAGACTATCAGCTCTGTACAGCAGAAGCCTGGGCAAGAGGACAAAAAGGACGGCTTTAGGAAAGCAACAAGCTGGATTCCAATAAGAGTAGGAAGCGCCTATCCAACCCCATTTTCAGTGGGTCACACAGGGCAGCCCTGAGAAATGCAGGACATGCAAAACATGCAGGTGTTGACTATGATCCATTAGATATTCTTTGCAAAGCATCAGTGTACCAGAGATCTTTGAGAAAAACAGACAAGAGAGGCAGCGTCACCGGCCTTACGTTTCATGCTGCTGCACACAGCTCAAAGTAACGAGCATGGTAATTGCACACCACTTCCCAATAGTTATCCCCAACCCGAAATGTTCTCTTTTGTATTAACTAACTGAGCTCCCCTTCTCTATCTCAGAATTGTTCTCACAGCAGCATTTGCCCATCCAGGAAAAGACAAGTACGTCCTTTTAAACTAGCTGATCTACGTTTCCCAAGTCATAGTTGAGAACCAAGTGAAACGCTCACCATCACTGGCACTCAGGTACTCTGGGTTAGATGATGCATAGAGGGGCCCAGTGGGGCCTTCAGTTTGCCTGGAAGTAAAACAGATACAAGAAAGTTTCAGTATTTCTGCAGTTTTGTGCCTCATGTTTGTCACCTTTAGATCTGTCCACACAGCACAGAAACATCCGACTCGGGCTCGCAGAGCTGTCCAATTGCTGTGTAGACTGTCTGGGGTCAGGCTGGAGCCTGAGCTCTGGGACCCCCCTACCTCACTGCGTCCTACAGCCTAGCTCCACTGTGAGTGCAGATATCTACAGAGCATGGAAACACTCCTGCAGCCTGAACCCCAGGAGCCAGGATCAGCTGGCATGGGCCAGTGGAAGGGGTAGACATCCCCTTACAGCACAGGTGGGCAAGATGCGGCCCCGGGTCCAGATCCAGCCCACCTAACCCTTTGATCTGGCCGCTTTCTATTTATATCCTGCTGCCCATGCCACCGAATTTTCAGGCAGTGGCACAGATAGCAGGATCCTATTTAAATACTCACGGCCGCGGCGCTACCCTGGCAGGGGCCAGAGCCACAAGCCTTTAAATAGCCACAACAACTCTGGGCAGCTGCCAGGCAATACGGTAGCAGTGGGGCCGGAAGCCCTGAGCCCTTTACTGTGTTTTTAATTCAAAGCCTTCAGCTCCAGACAACTCCTCAGACAGCACCTCCCCAAGCCCTGCCCCTTCCAAGGGATGCAGCCGGCCCATGACCACGTATAAAATTCATTAACTGCCCACCCCTGCCTTAGAGTCTCCATGCAGTTAAACGGCACCCAACGCACAACACTCCTGAACTTCAGATCTCCAAAAGCAAGATGTTTGCTAATCAAGTTATTTAGCTGTTCTGCTACAACCTGTCACCGCCGTTAAAAAGCCAGAGAGAACTGCTTGCCTACGTCTTTGGTCAAACATTTTGTTGTTCTGCTGGGAGCGATATAGGTCACCCACCTCTTTTTCACAAACACGTAGGTGGCTCCAATAATTCCAGCAATTATGATGGAAAAAACGACTGGGACGATAACAACAGCAAGATTAGACTGAGGGTTCACTGAGAAAGAGAGAAAGAGAGTAATGTTATGCAGGCTTCCAAGTAGCTTAGTCTCTTCTTCACTGAAATCCCACCCAGAACACCTGCTCAGCT